ATTCAAAAATAAAACAATGAAATGCCACTTTTGCCTATCAATTTTAACAAAGGTTTAAAAACACAACTTACACTGAGGATTAGGGTGGATGGACACTTTCATGCATAGCTACTGGGAAGAAGACTGGTACAAGCTTTCTGGTGGGCCTTTGGGGATCTGATTCAAAAGCAAAGGCTTTAAAAATGTGTATAATCTTTGATCTAACAATTTTATTTCCAGGAATTTGGTTTGAGGAAATAAGGATAAGTACAAAGATTTGGCTAGAATTATGTTCATCACAGTGTAATTTAAAATAGTAAAAGATGATAACCTATATACAATAGTGATTGGGTTACATAAACCACTGTTCATACATAAGATCCATTGCTACATGGTCACTAAAATGTTCCATAAAACCAATACCACCAGGTATTGACAAGGATATAGAACCAGAGGAACACTTACATGCAGATGGTGAGACTACAAATTGGCAAAACCACTTTGGAAAAACTACAGCAGTATCAGCTCAAGCTGAACACACACATCCCTAGGACCCAGTAGTTCCACTTTTAAGAGAATTGTACATATACTCTGCAGAAATGTGAACCTAAGTGCACCAAAAGACATGGACAAAAACGTTCATAGTTGCACCATTCACAATAGCTCCAAAGTGAAAACAACCTAAATGTTTGTTAATAGTAGAATGGTGAAAGTTTATTTAAACAATAGAATACTATATTGCAGAGAAAATGAATGGACTATTATCACATACTACAACATGGATGAATCATACAAACAAAATGCTGAGCTAAACAAGTCAGAGTACATACTGAGTTCATTTATATAACTGATGGTGACAGAAGTCAGGATAGTAGTTACCTTTGGGGCTGTAGTGACTGCCAAAGAGTATGAAGAGGTTTATGGGTGCTGATACTATTTTATATCTTGGTATGAAGAGAGTTACATGAGTATATTCACTTTATGACAACTTATTGCTCAGTACACTTACAATGTGTGCGCTTTTCCATATAGATACTATATTTCAGTAAATTTAGTTTAAAAAATTGATGTTCTACACAGGTTTCTCTTAAAAATATGATCCATAGATCTGCAAGACAATTGTGTGGGATGCCTGTTAAAAAATGCAGCCTTCTTAGGGGCTCCTGGATGGCTCAGTTGTTTAAGCATCCAACTCTTGATTTTGGCTCAGCGTATGATCATGTGGTTAGTGAGTTCGAGCCCCGCACTGGGTACCACACTGACAATGTGGAACCTGCTTGAGATTCTCTTGTCTCTCTCTCCCTCTCTGCCCTTTTCCCGCTTGTGCTTTCTCTGTGTCTCAAAATAAATAAACTTAAAAAAAAAGTGCAGGTTTCTGGACTCCAGCACAAACTCAGTCAGTCAAATTCTCTGGGCCACATGATTCTCCATTTTAAACAAGCTCCTTGGATAATTCTTACGTAGGCTGAAGTTTGAGAGCCATTGTTGTGGAAAAATATTTAGCATCATGGAAAGTAGTAGTTAACAGTGGACTCTAGGGGCACCTGGGTGGCTTCAGTCAGTTAAGAGTCTGACTCTTGATTTTGGTTCAGGTCATGATCTCTCATAGTCGTGGGATCGAGCCCTACATCGGGCTCTGTGCTGGGCATGGCACCTACTCAAGATTCTCTCTCTCTCCCTCTGTCCCTCCCCCTGCTCATGCACTCTCTCTCTAAAAAACAAAACAAAAACAAAAACAAAAAACAGTGGACTCTGAAGCCAAAATGCCTGGGCTCAAATCCAGCCTCTGCCACTGAACAGCTGTGTGACAACGAGGAAGATATTCCAGCTCTCTGGACCTAGGTTTCCTCAACTAGTAAAATGAGAATAACAATAGTATTTTTTTCACATGGGTGTTATGAGGATTAAATGAGTTTATATGCAAAGTGCCCCGAATAGTGCCTGGCACATAATAAACACTATATAAATGTTGAGATGAAATGAATGGGGAGGGTGGAAGGGAATGAGATGGAAGCAAATTAAGAAAAGGATATACAGGTGATCCGTGAACAATGCAGGGTTAGGGACACCAACCTCCCTGCACAGTTGAAAATCTGTGTATAATTTTTGACTCTCCCAAAACTTAACTGCCAATAGCCTAATGTTTGTTGGTTGGAGGCCTTACCGTTAACACAGTTGATTAACACATATTTTGTACATGTATTATATACCATATTCTTACAATAAACTAGAGAAAATATTATTAAAATCCTAAGGAAGAGAAAATACATTTAAAGTACTGCGCTGTATATTTATTAAAAAATATCTGTATATAAGTAGACCCATGCATTCAAATTGTTTTCAAGGATCAAATGTACAGTGTAATTATAATTTTGTAAGAATATATAAATATAGGTGAATATATATACAAACATACACATACAAATGACTGGAAAGATACACATTGAAGTGTTAAAAGTATTATCTCTGGATTATGTGATTATTGATAATTTTTATTTTCTTTTTGCTTGTGTCATCTAATTTCCTATAATGCAAAATTTCTTTTGTTATAGGATATAGTTTTTGAAAGTTAGTAACTTATGGTTTGATTTTATTATGCCCGCATTTCTTAAGGTTCTCAACATTAATGCTGGATGAGACCTTGCTATAAGGAAAGAAATCCTTTATAACAAATTGCACAAGATATTATAAATTTATTAACATGGGAGAGAGTGAGGCAGTCTCTACTTGCTCACTCAGGCACTGGAAAATGACCAACACCATCTCGAAGCAGGTACACTTCCAGATTACATGTCTTCCTTGACTTATGATACGGTTATATAAATTGAGAATATTGTAAGTTGAAAAGGCATTTGATACACCCAACCTACTGAACATAATGGTTTAGACTACCCTACCTTAAACATACTCAGAACACTTACATTAGCCGATAGTTAGGCAAAGTCATTTAACGCAAAGCCTATTTTATAATGGAGTGTTGATATCTCGTGTAATTTATTAAATACTGTTCTGAAACTGAAAAACAGACTGGTTGTGTGGGTTCAGAATGATTGTCAGTGTATCAGTTGTTCACCCTCGTGACCATTGTGGCTGCAGCTTACTCCCACTGCCCAGCATCACGGGAATATGGTATTGCATACTCCCATGCGCGCTGTATTACGTATCGCTAGCCTAGGAAAAGATGAAACTTAAAAATTCAAAGTATGGTTTCTATTGAATGTGTACTGCTTTCGCTCTGTTGTAAAGTTGAAAAATCAGAAGTCAAAGGCCATCTGTATTTCCCTTGTTTCCAACTGTCAGGAAGGAGATATCTTTCAATGGAGGTTCATGACTATTGTTCTGGGAACTGATAGGTTCTCCCTGAATTTTCTACACTGGAATCAGTTACTCTATGGTGTCTAGAAACACTTTGCCATATATTTTTTTTTTTTTTAATTTTTTTTTTTCAAATTTATTTATTTTTGGGACAGAGAGAGACAGAGCATGAATGGGGGAGGGGCAAGAGAGAGGGAGACACAGATGACAGGCTCCAGGCTCTGGCACCATTAACGGCCTTGGACTCGCTCGAACCTCACGGTGCTGCAGATGGACCTGGCTGAAGTGAGACCCAACACCGACTGTGCCACCCAGGCGCCCCCAACACTTTGCCATATTTTAACTCAAGAGAGATACTGAGGGTGAGGCAGTCAACCCGTGGCACTAATATCACTGAGAAAAAACACAAAATTCAACTAGACTTTACTGATACAGTCTTTTTATTTTCTTTTTCTTACCTCTTCTCTCCTTTCATTCTCCCGTTCTCCTCTCTTTTGCTTTTCTTCCTTTTAGTTTTACCTAGGCTTTAAGCTTGAATGTATGTGGCTCTAAAAGTATACTTTGGTCCTATTACTTTGGCTCTATGCTTTGGCTCTGCTCTTGACTTTTGCTCTAGTGTGAAGAGGACTGGCAACTCGGAACTTCAATTCAGCCCTCTTATTTTCCTCCTTTTTTAGATATAAATCCTGAGTTATGTCAACTCCTAAAATCTGTCCCCTTCACCAAATATTTGTAACATGTCAATATTTCTGAGTGGCTACTGGTAAAATACTCCTACTACATATTATAAAACCTGAAGCAGTCACTTCCAAATTTAGAAACTCAAAAAATGGACTTCAAACGAATAAGCAAACAATCAAAATGTTAGCCTGAATGGTGACGGTTCTTCAGCAGTACCATAAAAAATGAGTAACGATGCTAAGCAGTGTCTCATAAACAAACCTGTAAGTGAGATGAGGGATCAAAGATAGAAGGTATGACTCCAGGTTTCAGTTTAATATTCGGAGCACTTCTGTCAAAATCTGTCTTCTTAAAGTGCCTGGAACACAACACGTCTCCTTTTTTAGGCTCCCAGATGCCTGCAGCATTCACGTCAAGTCTTTTCATGGCTAATACCCATTTTCTTTTGACGTTTTCATCTGTGGGGAATCTAGAAAAAAACCATACAAACAGTATCCTAATATTAAGCACTGTCAATATATACTTGAACTAAGGTTGTGACTAAATTGGTTCACTGAGAAGTTTGTTACTACTCTTGGGAAATGGACTATTCAGGAAGCCATCATGAATCAAGCTTTCAGAACTTTCAGTTTTAACAGATTTTTCCACCAGTCATGCTGCAAACATATGGCCCTCATTTCAATTTTTCTCATATCATAAAGAAGAAAAGTTTCAAGGGATACTTCACCCTTACATTAAGATCCACAACTGGGGGATTTTCCTTCATCTATCTATGATAATACCATTTGGGACTTTTCCTATGTGAAGCCATACCCAGAATTTATCCCAGATGAACAGAGTACCTCATACTTTCATTCTTCTGTCAGCATCAGAAAGTTGCTTTGGACAGCATTTAACACACAACAGGTCTATAAATGCTTAGTGAATGAAGGCAGACAACAGCTGCAGAGTTTGGGGTTCTAGAGAAAAGAACTATTTTGAGAGATCTGGAAACCAATAACCATATCTTCTGTAATTTTCCAAACTGATTCAAATCTTTTTTTTTTGGACTAAGGTGGGGTATACATACTCATTTTTTATTTCCTCATACCTAGCAAAGTACTTATCAGATCTTTCTCTAGCACATAGCACAGTGCCTGGCACAAAAGCAGCAAAATAAACTTCTAGCAAATGAATAATGATTAAAATTAGATCATCTTGACTTACCTGTAAAAGAACCCTTGGTCTGAACTTGTAATTTACATTTTTTCTCTACAACGTAAGTTTGATCTATTTCTAAATAGAAAGGTCAATATATTTGGGCAAAGATCCTTCCTTCAGATTGTAAACTCCATATAAACAAAACAATTTCTTTGAAGGTATGTTAAAACACAAAGTAACAATATTAACAAAAATGAGCTTGATATTTTTGTTTACTAGCCTTTGATACCTTGACAGGAATCTTCAACTTTTAAACTAAGTTATAAAAACGTAAATGTATCACTTCAAATTCACTTAAAAAGCTATTTATTTAAAAAAGCTTTGGGAACTAAAGGTCAAAAATGAAAAATTAAGTATAACTGTCTTTGGCTTTTTTAACAGAAGTACTTGGCTTAACTATGGCAAAATCTTACACGTGAAACGTCAGTCCTTTTAACTTGGAATTTGGCAAACAGCGGGAAGCACATCCAATGGCCGAGCAACATTTCACCATGATTTTAGCAACTCATAACAGAACTGAAAGAAAATTAAAACGGTAAGAGTTAGCAATTTCAAAGCTAAGGGGAACATGTTTACTTTTCCCAGCGTGTTTTGGGTGATGTGAAATCATGCTAGAAAGCCAAAGGCAAATATTTTCTTCCAACACTAACAGCTCTAAAAATTTTCCAGGGGCTTGCCTCTTCAGAAGGCCAATCATTTTTTCACTGCGCACCCCGAAGCGTCTGACTCAGTCTTGCAGGCTTGTACATTTCCTTCCGCCTTTTTACAGGCACCATGCCACAAGGCCTTTGCACACGAACTCCTACTCATCTTTTTAGCTCACGTGTTGCTTCCCCAGGGAAACCTTCCTTGGCACCCAGATTAATCCGATCCCCTCCAGCATTAACTCTCATAGAACACACACTTCTTCCTAGCACTTCTCAAAGCTGTAATCTTCATTTATGTCAGTGATTCATTCTGTGATCAATGTCTTTCTCCATTACCAGTCTGTGAGATCCAAAAGGGCATGGTGGGGCGTGTACTTTTTCTCACTTTTTGTCCCCATGCTTAGCTGGTGACTGGCATACAGGAAACGTCAATGCATATTTTGAAGGAATGAAGAACGACTAAAAGCAGCTGCTGCAAAAGCAGAGCGCGCCCGTACCCGCTCCGAGCCCGGAGGCCTGGCGGAGCTCCGCCCCTTTCTCGGGGCACCAGGCCGCCGCAAGGGGAGAGGGAGGGGCCGCCCTGTCACAGGTGCGGATGCGGCCGAAGAGCGTCCCTTTCTCAGGGGCCTCCCGGCGTCTCCGCGCCGCTGCGGTCCACCTCGCCCCGAACCACGCCCAGGGCTTGGGCGAGTAGCGATGGGGACTGGGGGGGTGGAAAGAAGAGGCAACCTAAGTTATTACCGTTAGCAGCGAAGTCAGCAACTGACGTCGACAGCAGAGATTGCGTTTCCCTTCACTTCCGCCCCGTCGCCCCGGGAACCGGAAATCCGGCTGCCCCGGGTCACGTGCTGAGCCGCCATATCAGCTCGGCTGGCTGCTGTGACCAAGAGGGGGTGCGCTAGTGACGCTACTTCTCTGGGCGTGGTTTTCATCCTGGGGGAAGGGTCCGTGGAGTTTGAGGGGAGATGGAGGAGATGGCGGCTTCGGCGCGGGAAGATGGCGCCCGCGGCCAAAAGCAAGGGCGGCGGGGCTGCAAGCACTATGACAGAGGATGTCTCCTGAAGGTGATGACTTCCATGGGCTCTTCCCATACAGGCTGCCGCCGGGTCGGGCGGGGGCGGAGTGGGCCAGGCGATTAGGCTTGGGCTGAAGTTAGAGGCTAAGCTGTTTGTCAGGATCCCTCCTCCACCTCGAACTGGGTTCCCGCTGTAGAGAACGTTTCGGCAGGGCGACCACAGGCCGCACCCGTACTCTTGTCTTACTTTGTAAGCAAAGTCCTTTTTGCTTGGGAAGAGCCGAGGCTTGCACATCAGTCGCTGTATCAACGGGTTTAGTCTTTTGCTACTGGAAGTAGACTGAGGCAGCGTCGGGCCTGGGCCGGCTTTTCCCCAGGATCACTTTCAGGTGTGTGATGAAGTAATGAAAGAGGATAAGCGAGTGGAGAATCGGAATACGATTTCAGCTACTGTAGTAACAGTTTTACCGCTCGCCAGCTTCATTTTAGAGTCGGTGAGTGAACCTCAGGCTGCCGAGGAGAAAATGCTTTTGTGACATGGAAAGCCAGCCGTGTGATTGCCACTAAATAGGAGATTATGTGTAGGAAAGTGCCTACTATACATATATTCTTGTTTTTGCCGTTTACTTTGAGGAAAATTGCTGGTCACTCTAGAACTTTTTAGATGGGCACCCGCTCAGAGTTTCCTGATTTTGTTGTTGTTGCAAGAAGCAGTTTGAAGATTTTAAGAAAGCGTGAGCTTTGGAGTCCCACAGCCCTACCCACAAGTCATAGCGCTGCCCCTTGATAGCTCAGTGCTTTTGAGCAGGTGCTCCATTTGTACAGTAGGGCTGATAGAGTTACTGTTTCATAAAAAAGTATGAGGCCTGTAAAGATCACTTAAAGCCTTCTTTTAGGCCAGGCTTGGTGAAGTTCCTCCACAGCACTGGATGAAACTTTTTCAAAGTCATTCACCAAGTGTTGTGTAAGCAAATTGAAGGCTGTCCTTATGATTCCATTTCCACTGACTGATGTTACTGTTTGAAACTTGATGATTGGAACTGAATTCAACATTTTGGCCCTTTCCCCCAAGAAACTACATAAATATGTCTGAGTTTCATAGAGTTTAGATACTTGACCCTGAGTATCAAATACTTTTTGCCCGCTCTTGCTCCTTCCTTAAATACTAGAAGCCAAGTGAAGAGTTTTAAGGAGGAAGTAATCAACTAAATCAAATGCTGTTGTTTGAGTAAGATAACTGAAAATTGAACTTTAAATTGGATGAGGAGGTCCCTGGTGATCTTGACAAGAGAAGTTTCAGTGGGGAGATTGGGACAGAGCCTGATTGGAGTGGGTGAGAGAGAGAGAGAGAGAGAGAGAAGTGAAACTGGAAATCTTAAATTTTTTTTTAATGTTTATTTATTTCTGAGACAGAGACAGAGCATGAGTGGGGGAGGAGCAGAGAGAGAGGGAGACAGAATCGGAAGCAGGCTCCAGGCTCCGAGCTGTCAGCACAGAGCCCAATGCCGGGCTCAAACCCACAAACCGTGAGATCATGACCTGAGCCGAAGTTGGTCGCTCAACTGACTGAGCCACCCAGGTGCCCCTGGAAATAGTCTTTATAGACAATTCTTGGAGTTTTGTTGCGAAAGAGCGCAAAAAAACAAACCACCAAAAAAAAAAAAAACAAAAAAAACAACCCAAACAACCCAAAAACAACAACTCTGGTTGCTGTGAGATTTAGAATCATGAGTTTTTTTTTTTTTAATCTTTAAAATGGGAGGTATTGCAGCATGTTTTTGTACTCTTGGAAATGACTCATTAAAGTGAGAACATTTTTAATGCAGGAGGGAAAGAGAAAACTGTAGGAGCACTTACTGCCCTTGAGTAATCAAAGAAAAGATGGGATCCAGTGCACAAGTGGAGGAGTTGGCCTTAAGTAAAAACATGGAATAGAGGACAGAGTATTAGGTACATTTGCAAGTAGGTTGGTTGATAGAGTTTGTGGTAGGATGTTTTCTTTTGATTATTTCTATTTTCGTAGTGAAGTAAGCAAGGTATCAGCAGAGTGTAAGGGTGGAGGAAAAGCTGTAAAGAAAGAGATGTGAAATAATCACCCAGATTTTAGGTCCTAGATTGTAGAAGAATGAGGGAGTCAACTAGGGAAGTATAGTAAAAACTCATATTTTATTAGTGATTTTGACTTAGAAGTGAGACCAGTGGTCCCTTTTCTTCAGCTATATCTAGCTGTTCCTATACAGGAGAGAATTGGATTTAACCAGATTTGGGGTTTTGGTTAGGTATGTAGAGGAAGAGAGAAAGAAGGAACTAGAGTATGTGCAAGGGAAGAATTGAAGTGAGTTGGGAAGAGAGGAAGTAGTGATTAGAGAATTGCATGCTTGAAATTAAGATAGAAACAAGATTCAGTTGCTTAGAGCAGTGGTTCTCAAAGTGTGGTGAATGGACCCCCCACCCTGTGATTCCTGAGGCCCTTTTAGGTCAAAACTACTTTCTAATACTAAGATGTATTCTTTCTCAGTGTATGCAAAAGTGGTGATTAAAATTGCTGGCACCCTAGCAAAATGAAGACAGTGGCACTGACCTGTGCTACACCTATAATTAAAAAAAAAAAGCCAGTTTCACTTAAGAATGTCATTGATAAAATTGTATAAAATCTCAGCTCTTGAATACATGTCTTTTTACATGTTTTTTACATGTTTGATGAAATGGGATGTTTTCATCAAGAACTTCTGCAAACTAAAATTAGATGGTCATTGTGAGGAAAGTTCTTATGCAATTGGATCGTGCACTGAACTAGTAGCTTTCTTGCGGAACATTTCTTACTTGAAATCTGGCTTTTCAAATTTGAGTATTTGGTGGACATTTTTTTGAAAAGGAGAGAAGTGAAACTGTCATTGCAAGGAAGATCATTGACAGTAATAAAATTCAAGCTGTCATTTAAAAATTAGAATTAAAATTAAAAAAAAGTTTTTTTTAATGTTTATTTATTTTTGAAGGAGAGAGAGACAGAGTGTGAGTGGGGGAGGGGCAGAGAGAGAGAGAGAGAGAGAGACACACACACACACAGAATCTGAAGCAGGCTCCAGGCTCTGAGCTGTCAGCACAGAGCCTTACACGGGGCTTGAACTCACAAACCACGAGATCATGACCTGAGCTGAAGTTGGACTCTCAACCGACTGAGCCACCCAGGTGCCCCTAAAACTTTTTTTAAATGTTTGTTTTTGAGAGAGAGACACACAGAGTGTGAGTGGGGGAGGGACAGAGAGAGAGAGAGGGAGACACAGAATCCAAAGCAGGCTCCCGAATCTGAGCTGTCAGCACATAGACCGACGCGGGGCTCAAACTAATGGACCGCAAGATCGTGACCTGAGCCTAAGTTGGATTCTTAACAGACTGAGCCACCCAGGTGCCCCAAAATTAGAATTTTGGAAAACTTGGATTATTCTCTGTAAGCTTGAA